ACCGCGCGGGAGCCGGGGCCGCGAGCCCCCCAGAACCAGTCTGGCGTGTCTTCGGTTTATTTTCTTTCCAGGCCCGAATGCCGGGGCGGGGCCGGCCCGGGTCACCCGGTGTGACATTTCAAACCCGGCCCCTTGTTGTCCTGAAAACGGGCCTGAGAGGGCGCAGGAAATCAGGGGAGATACCGAATCTCCCGCAGCCCCGGGCGAGCGCGCAGAGCCGGGCTCAGGTTTTCCCCTCGGAAAGGTTAACCCTTTGCAGCCTCGCGGGGTTCCCCCCCCGCCCCCCAAGGAAGGTGGGGGACCGGCCGGCAGTTACTGAACGCGGAGGAGGTGAGGACATGGAGCCACGTTTCTGCTGCCTCCCGAGCGCCAAGGCGGTGCCAGCACAGGAAGGAAGGGGATTTAGGAAGTGGCGCTGCGGACTCACAGGTGAGGGGAGAGACCAGGGCGAGAGGACCAGCGCGCCCTCCCCGGCGCCCAGCGTGTCCACAATCAGGGTTCTTCTCTGAGGCTTCGCTCCCTGAACTTGGGCCGCTCCCTCCCAAACGGAAATACAGGCATTTTTTACCTTGCGGCTGGCCATTGAAGACGTGGCTAAACGTCCAACTTAATCTCTAGAAAGCTTTTGATTTATCCAGAATGCTGGGTTTTGTCATTTTTTAAAAAGGAAATAGGTTTTTGAATAAAGACTTTCATCAATGGCTGTGAATTAGCTCCGAATTTTTGCTTTTGACAAACTGCAGTTATTTTAGTGCTACAAGTGGAAACATCTAGTTGCAGTCAGTTCTTCCCCTGCCATCCATAACCAAACCATCTAATTCCTGCTTTTGATATTTATGTGAGCCTGATTCTTCTGAGTGTTGGGAAATGAAGGTAGTGGTTACTGTGTCAGGCTGCTGGCACCTGCCTGTTACTGTACAAAAAAACAGCAGCCCCTCTGCAGGAACATCGTTTCCCACGTGGGTTCCAGGGAACCCGTTTAACTCTGAAGTTTTATTACAAAGGTCCCTGGTGAGGTGTCATATCTACGGCTCGTTAGTTACATTAATAAATATGTTTTCATGGTTCCCAGGTCATCTTTAAACATCTCCTGTAATACAGTAGGGATTTTCTTGTAAATTAAATTGCCTGTAACAATTACAAGTGTTGTATTTTGTTGACTCAACTTTTACCCAGTTGTGTAGTAAAAAAGTCAGTTAAGAGGCCATAGGTGCAAAATGGGAATTAGTTATTTAACTAGATCCGCTTTAGAATAAGACATTCTCAGAGTATTTATCCCATAATGTGGATAGCTCTCTGAAATTCAGGCCGGGAAGGGGTTCCCAGAGTTGGGAAAGTGTGGCTATTACACCAGAAACTTCAGTACGTGTGGCAGGACCGCACACTTCTGGGACATTCGGAGCCCCTGAGCCAGTATCCCAACAAACGTTAATATTTAGTGGATTGTGGGACAGAAATCAGCCTTTCAAATTAAAATATGGACTAGCTTAAATTTTTCAGAGCGGCAAACACTGGGCTAAAGTGAGACACTGTCCAAAGTTGCTCCGTGGGGGCGGGGCGCGCATCGCCCCCCATTTCTCGGGCTGTTTCCCATACAAGCAAGTAAGTCCTCGCTAGGATGGGAGAGGACGCCCTGAATGAATAATAAACTATTCGCAGAGACGGTGCAATCAAGCTGTGATAAAAGCAGGAAATTCAGAGTTTATTAAGCTGATGCAGGGAAGATTAGAGGCTTTTAAACGCGGGTCTGAGTGATGTAAAGGTAAACTCTCTCCCAGATACAGGGATTCCGCGCGGTAATGAGGACCGTGCGGCAGTTAGACCAGCACCTTGTTGACGGAGGCTGTGCTTGGAGAGGCGGCCTCTGGAGAGGAAGGGGCATGAGGACTGGAGGGCGGGGGGAGTGCCCCACCTTAAAGGCAAGTTGGGGCCCTCAGTCCTGGCAGAAAGGCCGGGGCCCCAGGGGAGCGCGGCTGGAGGAGGCACCTGCGGGTCAGGCAGGTCGGGAATGAGAGGGTTGGGGGGGGGCAGTTCGGCA